GGTGCGACAGAGCCCACAACTCTGCTCATATGGAACCCTAATTCTCCTGGGACTTTTTTGAGAAACAAGTTGCCAAACGCTGGTCAAAGCCATAACAGTCTTTATGGTCTTGCTATAGAGGCTGTGAGGGTATGTAAAGCAAAGAGGCAAGAGCGCTTGTGCTTTAGAAATGATGTGACACTATGTGCATAGGTACATTGGGGCCTAAGTCTTTGGGGTCAGTGCAGGCCAAAGAGCAATATTGGTGTGTAGGCCTTTGGGGTCAGTGCAAGCCAAAGCAGGAGACACTGGCTTCTCTCCAGTTCCTAGTGAACCAAATCCAAAGGGATGTTGGATCTACCTGCACTTAACACTTGCAGGGTCCACTGAAACTGAATGCAGACCTCAGTACTGTGCACTGAGGTCACTGCTCTTTCATAAAGGTACGTGGAAGCAACGGGCTTGAAACCCTGGAAGTAGATGTGAGCCTGGGAGATTTCTGTAGCTGAATAAGACTATGCCCAACTATAAATCACCTTGCTGAACCATGGAGCTGAAAGGAATTTGAAAAATCTTTCTATTACCTAAATTGCTAATGGAATACAGACTAGTACAGGAACTAGGGCATTGTGCACCCTGATCAATAAGCTTTTCCATTTTGACAATGAATTGTTGAAAAATAGCCTTATAAAAACATTTCTTATTGCCTCCAATTTCCCCCATTAGCTGTGTTTCATTTTGTGCCTTCATAAGGTTCCTAAATGCATGTGCTACACTTCCCTGTTTGTCCTTAGCCACCTGATACAGCTCCCACTTCCCGAGGGCTTCCTTCTGCCAGCTGGGCTTTTTAGAGAAAAAGTCAGGACTTCTACTACACTTTCCATCCTTCTTCCATAATCAGTTTCCAGTTCTGTCTTAATAGCATTTCCTTTAAATATCACTTCTTTCATCTCCTGTGAGACAACGCACAGGAAAGTTTCCTTATCAAATCTCTAAACTCACTGATTTTTTTTTTCCCTTTCTGAAATCTACTGCTATTATTTTGTTATTTCTCCATCCCATCATAAACACTGTATGTTAGCAAGCATGTTAGATGCCTCTCACTAATGTTACCTTCTGTCTGGATATTCTCTGTAAGCTTCTCCTGACTGATTACAACCCAAGAAGGGAGTCCTGCAACCACTTCCTTCACTATCAGCATCATCAGGTACTTAGCATAAGCAGCCAAAGTGCCAGTATATTTTTGACAACAAGAAACTCAAATATAACAAGTTCTCTGATCCAAAAGAGGGAGAGAGAGTTTTCACCTATCGAATTCAAAGCAATGGCATGAACACCAAAATCAGCTTGAGCACCAAAATCAGATGTGCTAGCTTCCTTTTGAAAAGGGTTGTCTAAAAAAACCCAACTTAAAAAAATGTAAGCAGTAAAACAGCTTCTACACTCTCTCAAGTACAAACTAGAAAGTCTTTTCCAGAAAATTTTAAAAGAGAGAACAAGAAACCACATTTTCTAAAGTGACTCAACTTTTTGATAATTCCATTTCATCCAACTTTCTGGCCTAATGGAAACCTTACCAATCTCTTCACAAACTACATAGCTGAAAACCAGGATTGCCTCTGACCTTTAGCAAAGGCAATCTGTGGGAAAACTCAGCTGGTCTCACCACAAAATCTACTTTCAGGGTAACCAAGTCTGGAGACACGTAGAAACATTAAACATCACTCAGAAAAGTGCTACACTTGATACTCCAGGCCCTATGTCAATGTTTCTTATTTCAGGAGTAGAACTTGCCCAAATCTCCGAGAACATGCCCTCGGTCCCTTTTCCCTGACACCAAGAGCACCCTCCAGGATAGCCCCTCTCCTTCAGTGCTGCTGCTGAAAGCACTTCAGCCCGGAGGCTGTGGGCTGAAGAGGCTGCGGAGGCCTTCACGCACAGTGATGCTTCCGCAGTACTGCATCCTCTCACTGCGAGAGGACGCAAGCACGGAGCAAAAAAGCCTGGAAATAGCGAGAGTCATCTCAGAACCTCCAGACAGACAAAATTACTTTCCTTAGATGGAGGTTTCCTCTATTCCTCTCTCACATGTGTAGCACCATCGCTTTCTAAAGCAGTTGTTCTTGCTCTTAGGATGGATAAATTACAATGAAACACAGTAGTTGGGCGTTTTTGTTTTTTTCTTTTTCTCCCAGGTGACTGGCTCGTACTGTTCCTCAGAGCTACTAGCACTGTCTGTTTAGCCTCCAGATGCAACCACGAAAGCAGAGGGGGCCAGGAATGTGCTGCCATTTAACACCCATCTTCCCCGTTGCTGCTCCACTTCATTCCACCTTCCCTACAGTCCTGCCTGGACTGCAGCCCTTGGCACTGGGCCTCTCATAGCCTTCCTGAACGCAGAGGTGAGGAGCAGACACGTCCTGGCAGATGGTCTCCATTCGCGCTTCCCCACGTCGTGCAATTGAAGCAGACGCTTTGGCAAACAAGCTCCTTCACTCACTTCCACCTGTGCCCCCGATCTGCAGCCTAGTGACCAGCCATTTCAGTTATAAATTTTTTTCTAACTCTCAAGTTTGCCTTAATGTTACTACTATGCCCATATTCCACAACATAAAATATTCATCAAAGTATTGGGAGTGTTTAAGTATTTATTACTTATTCTTCCCAGGGCCCTGTACGAGCACCTGGAGAAATGACTGAAGAATCCAGCTTCATAAAATTGATTGCATGCATAAGGCCAGAGCCAACACTGCTGTTCATTAGCTTTATTAATGCTAAACACTTTCGCT